TAACAAATTTATTAGAGCATAAGCTTTCGTGGAATACAGCCCACGAAAGCTTATGCTCTAATAAATTTGTTAGTCTCTAAGGTGCCACAAGTCCTCCTGTTCTTCTTTTTGCGGATACAGACTAACACGGCTGCTACTCTAGAACCAGTAAAAGAACTCTTAGTGGCTGGAGCTGCAGGCCTAAGTGTTTAGATTATGAAATAATTGAGGACATTGATATATGTTTGGTTCAGTGTTTCTTGGCTTTCCAGGGTTTAACAGGACTTCTTCTCTTTACAGGGTTTCCTAAAAACAAAGGTACTAAGACTGATTGCTAATACTGTCTTTTGCAAAGTATTAAAACAATTGCACAATAACACTTCAGAAATTTGGCACTGCTTTTAATTCACGTTTCATGGTCCAGCTTGAACATTAACTAGAGAATAGTAGATGCCTTTTTCAGCCAAGAGTTGCTGATGTGTTCCTTGTTCTACGACCCTTCCATTCTGGATTACCACTATCTTGTCAGCATTCTGCACAGTGGACAGGCGATGAGCTATTACAATACAGGTGCGACCTTGTCTTGCTTTATCCAGTGCTTCTTGGACAACCTATTCAATTACCAAAGCAGAAGATACATTTGTCAAGTAATGCATAGAAACCCCTTCCAGCTGTTAGTAAGTGAGGTATCTGATCTGATATCTTTTAATTTAAATTATAAATTACCAGTGAGAGAGATGAGGCTGAATGGCTCCAGGGAACAGTAATGGGATGAATGTCTAGCTTCCTGTTTTAAATCTAGCTTGTGTTCACGATGAGTGAGAGCTCTTAATATTGATAAATGGTTGGATACCTATTTGAGCTAAAGTGGTAAACATCTCAGGAGAATTGCTAAAGACCTGTGTCCACATCACCAAAATCATCACAGCTGGCAACCTGGTTGGCAATCTCAGCAGAAAGACCAAGTATTGTACAGGCACAGAGCTGGTTCCTTTTAGGCCAGTTTTAAATAGTGGTGGAATGCTTGTATTGCCGCAGTTGTAAGGAAGACATTCTAAGGTATTTCATGAGCACTAAGTTCACTTTAAAACTACAGAGAAACCTGTTTTGACAGCAGTGGGCCACATATCAGTATTGTCAACAGCAAGTCGTCAAAAATCACTGAACCAGTGTTGCCAAATTTAATAACTTTATGGCATGTCTTGTGATAAGTATTTTTCTTAAAGCCCCAGCTCCTGGAGAAAAGTGAGGATCTCAGCTTCCATTTTTAAAAAGGAAGCAAGTCTCTGGCTGTCATGGTTGCAGGGAAAAGCTTGAAAATGTCACCCAAGTGCACCCTAAAGGCACAAAAAGAAGAAAGCAAACAAAAAGCCATGAGATTCTTTCCTTGCAGAAATGACCATGTGGGGGAGGGGAGGAAGGAAGGGGGAAGCAAAGAGTACAGTAAAAAATAAAATTGACTAAACCAAGACTTAAAATTGGAGAATATGTTTCCCAGAAATATTTCTCAGAGCTGCCAAGTCTCCCAGATCACACAGGAGACTCCTGATTTCTTGTATCCGCCCCAAGATCCAGAGCAGCTGTTTGAACCTGCTATCTCAATTCTGAGACCTACTACTCTATGGTTAGAATCCTGGAGGACTCCAACCATAAAGATGTTTTTTACAGTACTGCCTCCAACTATCCTACTGCCATAGAGATACACCCAGTGTAATGTGTCACTCTAGCTATTCTTCTATAGGGGAGAAGAGTTGGGGATGAAGCTCTAGGGCCCAGCTGTATGATTGGAGGAGAGTTGTGTGCTGATCAGAGTGTTGCTGTAGATGGGGTCTCTGTTGCAGAAAGCCTGCCCTAACTGGAGTGAGGGCCTAGACATGCCAGAGTCCCTGGGGAGAGGGAGATTTAGCCAAGTGTGTTTACGGGGGAGAAAGAAGAAGAAGGGGGATCTAGCCTTTTGCATTCTTCTGACATCAGTAGGCAATAGAAAAGTAACTGAAGACAGTTTCGTAGTAAGATATTTGGATTTGGGTAATCTAGATTTAGACAGTTGCTGTCATTTATACAAATGAGATAATGCCTCAGTATATATGCATCTCATTTGTAGAAAAGTTCTAGATTTTCAGACTTTGGACTTTTACAGGCATTTATGGAAATCAAAGTGGTAATCACAATTGTTGTATTAACAGCCATGGTTTTAGATTCCCCCTGTGTACAAAAACAAGATACCTTTTCACTTTCTGTATCTAGAGCAGATGTGGCTTCGTCCAGTAGCAGAACTTGAGGATGACGTACAAGAGCTCGAGCAATAGCAATACGCTGCTTCTGACCACCCGAGAGCTGAGTTCCTTTGTCTCCCACACGGGTATTATATTTCTAAATACAATAAACACAAGTTTAGAAGGTGCATCCAACCAGCAATTTAGCCTGGGTTTGGACTTAAATCACAGAGTCCAATAAAGCATGTGCTTTCTACTCTTGGCTATTTTATTTCAGCAGTTCTTTGAAAGCAGATGACCACAATTATTGAAGACCAAAAACATCTGTCCATCTTAGGTGCTTATATGACCTCCATTACCATACTACCTGAACATCCCAATCTTTAATGTATTTATCCTCACAACACTCCTGTGAGGTAGGAAAGTGTATTATTCCCATTTTACAGATGGGAACTGAGAGGCTCACACAGGAGTCTGTGGCAAGTCAAGGAATTGAACTACCCCTTTATTGTCTCCCAAGTCCTAGGCTAGCATCCTAACCACTGGACCATCTTTCCCCTCGTGAGTTCACTTTGAAGGGAATATCATAACTTAAAAAAGAGAATGTTATGGTTTTAATCTAAATTATGTACATATCTAATTGACAGTCACATCTGACTTGGGGCATCCAAAAATGTTAGTTTTTAAAATACGCATACAGTTTACTAATGAACTGATTGGTGCTCCCTCAAAGCCTGCACTAGCTTTTGTTTGTTACACTGTAAGGATTGCATATGATTTGCTGGATGATTCAGTCTGGCAATGTTCTCAGCTCTTACCTGAACCTTTAACAAAAATAATTTCTACCAAGTGTTTTAGATAACAAGGGGCTAACAAAACAAACAAACAAAATATTTTAAGTATCCGGGGGTAGCCGTGTTAGTCTGTATTTACAAAAACAACAAGGAGTCTGGTGGCACCTTAAAGACTAACAGATTTATTTGGGCATAAGCTTTCGTGGGTAAAAACCTCACTTCTTCAGATGCATAGAGTGAAAGTTACAGATGCAGCCATTATATACTGACACATGGAGAGCAGGGAGTTACTTCGCAAGTGAAGACCCAGTGTTGACAGGGCCAATTCAATCAGGGTGGATGTAGGCCACTCCCAATAATAAAAGAAGTGACGTTTTAACCCACGAAAGCTTATGCCCAAATAAATCTGTTAGTCTTTAAGGTGCCACCAGACTCCTTGTTGTTTTTGTAG